TACAAAATTTTATAAATAGAACACATATTTACAATTAGAAGTCGGCTAGAAGCCGAATCTAGTGGGAGGACATCCCCGAAAGAAGCCTAAAAAAACACAACGCACCCACAATAATACTGCCTAACTCCCAACATGAAAATCTCAATCCCAAAAGGAACACACAAGAAAAACACATAGAATCACATAATTAAACCTGCAAACAGCAACACCAAAATAATAATAATAAAGTAAAGCCCTTCCCTCAGCCGGTCAACTGCACCAGGCGAAACTCGACGGCGATAGCCACGGTCGACCACCTAATCGAACTGGACCACGACCCGAATTCCAAATCCAAAAACCGCAACACACACCTAATTGGAGCCGAAATCCAAGACCCGACCCCACACACCGGGGGCCACACCAAACCCCTTAGCCAGAGATCAGGAAGCAAACCCTCCACCACACACCTCCGCTCTGAAATCAACCCACACCACGGGCCCACTCGTCACGCCGGTCGTCCCCCCATCCCTAACACCAGGGAAGAAGAAGAGGACAAAGGGGAGAACACCCTACCACCTCCGCCCCTAAACCAACACACGACATAGTGGACCATGAATCTGCCCAACAAGAACACCACAGCTCGCCCGCCGCCTCGAGGCCATGGAATCCAACGACCACCGTCCCTTGATGAACCGGAAAGAAGAGGCGAGAACAACTCGGGCGCGGCCATCCAAACTCCACAACGCTAATTGTAACACCCCAACTAATTATATTATGTTTTCATATTGTTGTTACTAATTTAATTATTATTATTATCATCATTATTATCATCATCATCATCGTTATGAGTTATATTTATTTTTAAATGAATATCAAGCTAGTAAATAAATAATAAATCCTTTTAATTAAAGTATTTTGGACATAATTATTACCTATTCAAAATTATTCTATGATTTGTATTTGTGCATAATTTCCTACATGATCATTCTTTTCCCGAACCTTTGTTTATTTATTATTGTTTTAATTATTCCTTTTAGTATTTTAAGAAGGTCAAATTATGGACCAAGATTTGATTTCAAATTTATATCATACCATAGTTATGTATCTTCCAAAAATCCTATTGATTTCACCTTCCTAAATTCTATTGATTTCACCTTCCTAAATTGGCCCAATAATTTAGTATAAATACCCTACACCCTAAGACTCTTTTTCACACAATTCATTCTAGAGGTAAATCTTTTTCCTCATCTCCTTCCCTTCTCCCTTTCTTTCTTTCTTTCGTTTATCATTCTTCTTCGACACCGTCCTCGACCATGCGCCGTTATTCTGCCACCGCCGGACCGCCCTTGTCGGATCCATGTGCGCCTGTGACAATGGGAACGGTGGCAAACAAGTTGAATGGGGTCGTTATTGTTCTATTTTGTTTATTTATTTATAATCATTCTCGGCAATAAATTGTGAGATTATGAAATTCAATCTAGCAATTTGCTAAGATTTCATTTGGTTTTCCATTCCACAAAGCCGATTGGGCATGATTATTCGTTAAAAGATATATATCTCACACACATTACACACATCCACTTAATTTTTATTGATTATTTATTTATTTATTTTATTGCTATCAATTTCTATTTTATATACATGTTTATAGATATTATATATATATATATATATTTATTTATATATTATATACACGCACACACACCACACAGATTTCAAAATATATATATCATATACACACACGCACACACTACACTAGATTACATATATGTATATATATATGTATATATAGGGAATGGTTCAAATGCGCCCCGTTTTTAAAAGTGAGGACGTGAGACCTGATCTGGTCCGTTCACCACTCATCTAATCTAACGTTCAGAATTAATTTAGTATATTAATCAATATTTCTAATTTCGCGGGCGGTACGTCTTCAGAACACTGTACTTTACTTTCCCTCTCCATTTTCGCACTTGCTCCTTGTTTCTGTTCCATTCTCTTCCATTTTCAATTTTGATTTCGATTTCGAGGGCGGTACGTCTCAATTTCTGTTTCCGTTTTATCTTTCGTAGTCTATTCTCGCAGATTCTCGTCTTAAATTGGTGAGTATTTTTGCTGTTGTTTTTGTCTGTAATAACTTTTTCGATTTTAGGTTTTTCATTCTTTCATTTAATAGATTAAAGTAATATGTTTTGTTTATTTTTTGCTAAGTTAGCTCTCTGATGCTGCTAGGTTAGTGTATGATGTTGCTAGGTTAGTTATTTTTGCTGCTAGGTTAGTTGTCTGATGGTGCTAGGTTAGTTACCTGTAGCTGATATGTTGGTCGTCTGATGTTGCTAGCTTAGTTGTCTTTTGCATCTAGGTTAGTTCTCTTTTGCTGCTAGGTTAGTTGTCTGATGCTGCTATGTTAGTTGTCTGATGTTGCTAAGTTAGTTACCTGTAGCTGCTATGTTAGTTGTCTGATGTTGCTAGGTTAGTTGTCTTTTGCTGCTAGGTTAGTTGTCTGTTGGTGCTAAGTTAGTTACCTGTAGCTGATATATTGGTCGTCTGATGTTGCTAGCTTAGTTGTCTTTTGCATCTAGGTTAGTTGTCTTTTCCTGCTAGGTTAGTTGTCTAATGTTGCTATGTTAGTTGTCTGATGTTGCTAGGTTAGTTGTCTTTT